ATTCTAAAACTCAATTAGGTTATTGGAACAACAAAGTAGAACTCTAATTAAATCATGCTAATTTAATTACCAAGGTTCTAAAGCAACTTCAAATGGTCCACAATTAATATATACTAGTAAACAAGTCATGGTCAATACAAATATCAACTTAAAATCTTAATTAAGCTAATGGGACCACAAAATAGATTTTAATTAATTCTTTTAATTAAAATCTCTTGATTTTTAAACTTAACCAAATGCTCTCAAATTAACCTATGCTGGAAAATATGCCAAGAACTAATGTAATATCACATTGCAAGTTTATTTCATTCAATTTATGACCATGCAAATTAAACCTTCACTAAAGTTAAATATAAAACAAAAGTTGCAATTCTTATGTAATAAATCCCAATTTAATACATGTGAACAACTATACCAAAACTTAATTTTTTAGCATGCCACAATACAATTCTAAGTTGTATATCACCATGAGGATTAAATCTTAAACATGAAATTTAATTAAATAAAAGGTTTCAAAACCTAACCGAATATTATAAATCAAATATATGTGAAGCTATATGGCATGTAAATCAAGAATATCAAGTCGGAATTCAAATGAGTGAATAATGCACTCGGGGCAAATTAATTAATCAAATTAATTAATAATTACTAATTTTCAAAACACCTCCAATTACTTTCAAATTCAACTATATTGAAGAGCATGCTAAGGCATAATTTAATATGCTAACACATATTAATTTCATGCTAGTTAAGGCCATGTGAATTAATCTTTCACCTAAGATAAATATTAAATAAAATCTTTAATACTTATTCAAATGTTCCAATTTTAATACATGACAATGAGCATATCAAGGGACAATATAAAATCATGCTACATGTTTAAACCAAGTCATGAGCAACCGGGAAAATTAGATCCCGTACAAGAAAAATAAATAATAAAATCTCTAGATTTTATATTTAATCATGCAAACAAGTAGTATAAGCATCACAAACATGCTATATAATAAGAATTTAGACCTAGAATATCTCCTACCTCAATTTGAGATGAAAATCCCAAAGGCCCACCAAAATGGAACGGCTCCGAATCCGACGAAACTACTAGGTTTTGTCGGGGACAACGCCGTGAACATAACCCCCATGAAAGCCCCATCAAAATCATAACTTGACCTCAAAACCAAACTCAAGAAATGGTCAAAACTGAATCTAATAAGGGGGAAAGGTAGAGCACGGCGAGGGGAACAACAAACGTTAAGGCCGAAGACTTTCCATCAAGGAAAAGTGAACCAAAAGAGGAGAGAGAAGATGGCAGCACCCATTGGGCTGCCATGGGAGCTCCAGGTTGTGCATGAAGAGGGGAGAAAATGAAAAATGAAATATCTTACCCCCTTTTTATAGAAATCTCAAAAAGTGCCCCGAACGGGCCCCGCCAGGTCCGAAAAAGTAAAATTTGAGCAGACGCGCTCAAATGGAAAAACTTTGTGAACAAAAAAGATTCAAAATGATAAAATATGAACAACGTAAGAAACAGCGTCGAAAACCGAGTCCCGAGTAGAAAGTTATGCTCAAAACAAGTTTGCCGAAAACGAGGGCCAAAAACCCTGAAACTGGAAAACATCGACCAGGAAGAAATTCCAAGAGTACACAACTCGACGAAATGTGAAAATGAATCCTGTACGAGGATCCAGGCTTAAAATAAGACATTTTGTAATAACTTTCATTAATTGCACAATGGCCCTTCCAAAAAGTGAAAACTGCACTTATGGCCCAGAATGAAAATATCTTTCAAAAATATTTTCTTAAAAACCCCTGAAATAAAATATTTTCAAAAGATATTTACAAAAAATACCCCAAGAAAAGAAAATAATTTCAAAGAACTTTGCATCCATGCCCCTATGGACACCGGGAGCAACCAGAGTACTTTCTTGCAAAAGTAAAGATATGTATTTCGTGGAAACCACACAAGATGAAGGCACGTGAAGTCAAAAACCAACTCCAAGCATGAGAAGTGAGGTTGTGCCAAAAACTGACAAACGGAGATAAGACAGAATAGGGAAAAGGACGAAATAATGCATAATGTCGAAAAACGAAAAATGTGAAAATGACTCGGTCCTCAAAGGAAGTTGTCAATCCATGGAAAAGAGTCTCAGGAACCAATTCCGAGCACTCGAGATGACACTAAGTGACACGAAACAGAGCTCAGAAAAGAAAATTAAATGAAAAAAATTCATTCGTAAAATTTCTAGAAAAATGAAAGGAAGGCAAATGACTGGGTCGTTACATTTATGGTGGTGTCTTCACTAACGTCTTGGAAGTGTATCGCAAAAGTTTTCTCATGGGCATTGGTGGGTAATGGATACGTGTCCCCTTAAGTCCTATGTCTGATGCTTATCCTTATTCTGCTCCCTGTGTCTCGTATCCCAAGGGAGGTTTCCATTGTATATTTGTTTTGTGTGGCTAGGGTGATGCAACGTCTCACCTACGTTTCTGTCACTAATGTCATCGCTAGGTCACTGACTTGGGTTATTGGTTCCTTGATTTTCAGATTCTAAGATTATTTTTTGTTGAGTTGTGGGTCCCTTAGTACTTTACTACTTAATTTGCGTTTCTGGAGGGGGTAGTTAGCCGAACCTTCCTGACACTTTTCTAAAGCTTTGGTTGTTCTCAAGACTTCGATCTTGAGTTAGCTTGGTGTTGGGTTCGTTGTCTCGGGACTTGTTTTGTTTGGATTTGTTGCTTGTCCCTTTATGGGGTTGTTGTGGTTGTTTATACTTATTCTTTGTAAGTGTCGTTAGGCTGTTGGTTGTTTGCCAGGTTAAAATAAAAATAAAAATGTGAGGTTTGGGTAATTTACACACAGATATAGTGTTTTATTACTTTAACATCCTCTAAAAGTAAAAGATTTCTTTCATACCCTTATTTAATTTAATAAAAAAAAAAAACTGTCAAACTAGAAGACTTTTTTTTTTTTTTTTTTTTTTTTTAACGTCTAAAAGTCTCTATTACCTTCTTCTTTCTTACCCTTATTGTAAATGCTATATTACCCTACCTAATTATATTTTTACAAAGTCGTATTCCATGATGCACCATGCATTGGGCCATCAGAGTCATTCATTCCCGCACGTGCACTGCACGCATTGCGCGTATAGTGCACAGATGGTTCTGTCTTTAAAGGATCAACTTAAAAAGCTTTGGTACTCCAGAAATTATTATATCATCCGAATTGAGAACTTTCTACTTCTGGAATTGAGGGATTGAATGGTTGTATACCTTTAAAGAAAAAAAAAAAAAACCTTTATATTCTACTCTCCAAAAATTAATATATTGTCCAAAATTATATTGTTTTAACCAATGACATCTAAATAAATTTATCACTTTTATTTAAATTTTATTTACGATTTATTGGGACCACGAAAAAATTTCTCGCCGAAAAAGCCCGCGAGTTTAATAATCTCTATGAGATTCATAAACTCTCTCAACACTAAGGCTGTGTTTGGCGAATTTGAGTCTTGAAATTAAAATTGGTGGAATTGAAAAAAAATTTAGTTCAATTTTCTGAGTTGTTTTTATCTAATTCTACTAATTCCATACATGTCAAAAGTAACCTAAAGTTTAAAGATCCTATAAAACCTCTCAATTGTAACACAATATTATCTCCCTTCCCCAAAAAAAAATATATCCTCTCTAGATCCCGTCAAATGTCTCTCAAGTCTTACAATTATTTTTATTGTTAATTTTTTCAATTAAACAAAAATTTTTTTAATCTTTCTTTCACGTTTTCTATTTATCTAATATATATTATATTGCATTAAACTTAATGAATAAATTATTTTTTACAATCAATTAAATAAATGAAATAGAATAGAACTACGCATGCATTCTTAATTTTTACAATCAATTAAATAAATGAAATAGAATTGGACTACGTATGCATTCTCACAAAAGCTTCCCTGCTTATAATTTTTTTTTTTTTTTTGAATAAATTACACTAACCTCCACTCGGATTTAGATAATTTATACACTTTGGTTTTTATTACTTTGAACTCCTCTAAAAGTGTGAAATATTTTTCATTTCTTTTAGGCTCCGTTTGGTTATATGAAAATAAGTAAGAAAAGAAAAAGAAAATGAAAAGAAAGTGAAGTAAATGAAAATAAAAGTAATTTTCTAAAATGCATTTTGTTAGCATGAAAATTTATTCAAGAAAATTGTAAACAAATATTAATTAGTTAGTTTGGACAGCATGAAAGCAAAAGTGATTATACATACCAAACATACTTTTATGATTTCAATTGCTAAAAAAACAACTAACTTTGTGTTAATTTATAATAGTAAAATAATGGATTATTAAATTTAATAATATAATTGTTTAATATTTATTTCTATTATTTATATTTAAAATAAGGTCCCATAATATTTTTTTTAGGTAGAACTAATTATTAGTTTAAGAGAAAGAAAACTTAAAAAAAAAAAAATTTGATTATATGTTGTTTATTTTTTTGGTAAAATTATATAATGTTGTTGTGAAGTCTATTATTATCAAATATTAGATCAGGCAAATATTGAAAAAAAGAGTTATTGAAAAATAAAGAAAGAAGCAACAAAACAAAGACAAGTTGCCTGTTTTTTGAGCAAGTTGTTTTGCATGATTATTATTATTATTTTTTGGATAAAATAGAAATATCTAATTAAAAGAAACTCATTTCACCTGAAAATATTATTTTAAACTCTAAAAAATTTAAAATTATTTTTTAATTGTTTCCATTTAACTAAACAATGCCTTAGCTAATTTAACAACAAATAAGAAGGCTCTATTGCATACATTAAAGTATTCACTTTATATTTTATTCGCAACGTGGCAGGAATTATTATATGATCATAAATTAAATCATTTTAACTAATTACAGCTTGACACCTAAAAACATATATTATTTTTATTTAAATTTTATTCAGGTGTTAAATTGTGATTTTATCGGGATCATAAAAAAAAAAATTCTTGAAAAGCCCGTGGGCTTAGTAAAATCGGTACAAGGTTCCATAAATCCACTCAACACTAGAGATTCCGCAAACCCTGTAACTATTCTCTTCCCTTCTCTCTCAGGTCTACCTTGCCCTTTCCGTCGACGGTGGCTCTGCGTTGGTTGAGGTAAATTATACTTATACGATTGCATGTATAGGTGTGTTTGTATGTATGTATGTATATATTGTAGGCTTTTTCTCTGCCATTCAAGTGAAAGGTTGAGGGCAATAAGTTGCGATTGTGGGTTTGTGAGTCTGTCTTGCCAAAAAAAAAAAAGGTTTTGTGTGGAATAGTTTAAGATTGCTCAAGTATTGTACATTTGATCTCTGCATGTGGCTTAAAACTCCATGAATCTAACTTCAGTTTATTTATTTTTAATATGGTTAAAAAAAAAAGAAGAAGGTTTTATTGATTTATTACTTTTTTTGTGATGCATTGATGTTAGGTTTAGTGCTATAGTTTAAGATTGCTTAATTATTGTGCATTTGATCTCTGCATGTGGCTTAAAACTCCATGATTCGTTATCTAACTTCAGTTTATTTATTTATTTATTTCTTAGAAGAAATAGTTTCTGTATTTGATCTCTGCATATGGCTTAAAACGCCATGATTCTTTATCTAACTTCAGTTTATTTATTTTTTAGATTGGGGGTTGTTTATCTGAAAGTGTAGTTATATTTAGTGGAATAGTTTAAGATTGCTTTAAGTATTGTACATTTGTTCTCTGCATGTGGCTTAAAACTTCATGATTCGTTATCTAACTTCAGTTTATTTCTTTTTAGTAAGATGCGATTGTGGGTTTGTGAGTCTGTCTTACAAAAAAAAAAGGGTTTTATTGATTTATTACTTTTTTGGTGATGGTTTGAAGTAAGGTTTAGTGGAATAGTTTAAGATTGATTAAGTATTGTGCATTTGATCTCTGCATGTGGCGTAAAACTCCATGCTTCGATATCTAACTTCTGTTTATTTAATTTTTCTTTTTCATTTTTTTAGCAGAAATAGTTTCTGTACATTGGGGGCAGCAAGGGAAAAAGAAGAAGAAGAAGGAAGTTTGGTGTTTAAGGTGACTAGGTTGGTTTCTGGGCTAATATGGAGCTTGTTTATGTGGGTAGTTCTGAATTTGTTAATGACGAGAGACTAGCCAGGCGATTGAAGAGAAAGGGACTTGCTACTGGAAATTCTGAGCCTAATACTTCTAGTAGTAGATTAAAGAGAACACGGGAAGAAAATCGATTGGGTCGCGAAACTGATGATGATTTCAGGCCTAATACTTCTAGTAGTAGATTAAAGAGAACAGGGGAAGAAAATCGATTGGGTTGCGAAACTGATGACGATTTTGGGTCGCATATGAATGATAGAGAATTAGCTGACCTTGTCGGGGAAGGTGGTGGTGATGATCTTCCTGATGAAGAAGATGACATGGACCCTAAATATAAGATGTTCTTGGAGAATTTGAGTGAAGATGGAAATTCATATAGACTGGAGGTAACTGTGTTGAACGGGAGGTCTTTATTGATAAGATATGAAAAGGAGTGTGAGTTGGATAACGAGCTTGAGCTGCAAACTGCAAGAAAATCAGGGGATTGTTTGAATATAAAGAAGATAGAAGTTCGTAAAGATGTGAGTGATGTTTTGAGCAAAGACAAGATTGAAACTCAAAAGAATTCGAGGAACGTTCTTGGGAAAGATATGATGGAAAGCCCCAAAAGTTTGGAAAATGGTAGGGTGGATAAATGCTACCGAGAATTCCTGAATTGTATCGAACTGGAAGGTGATTGTATTGTTTTTGTGACTGATAATGGAAAGAGGGTAAACTATGAAGAGGATGTTGATAGTTCTTCTGATGTAGAAATAATAGAGATGGATAATGCTCCATCAAAGAATCCATTTGTTACTTCAAGAATGTTTGATTCATCTGTACGTATTCTCTTCTACTGTAATTTCATAAATTTTTCTGACATGTTTGTTTTTGAAATTTGTTTTACATTGCTTTGTTGTATTGTTATATTGTTTTACATTTGTTTAGATGGAGGGTGACAAACGGGTGGGACTTCCAAGGGAAAGTAAACGTTCTCAGTTCAGGGAGAAAGTCATGGATATTCTCAGAAAACCTTTTGACCAGGAGGAGTATGAAGAGCTTTTGCATAATATAAAGGAGTTAAAGCCTGTGGAACGTAATATAGACTTGCGTTCGGGACCACTATCATACCATGCAAGTAATAGCTTCAAATCATATCTTGATCACTTTGTTGGTAAGTTGAATGCCACATACCTTTTTTCTCTCACATTGAAGTCATTTTATGTTTCTTCTATTTTGAGTATCACCACAACAATAGTGATGCAACTTTGACGACAACATCAACTTAGAAATGATATCACCCAAACAATATGTTATTTTATAATTGTTTTTTCCCCTAATTGTACAGTTTGGACATCAATTGCTCAATAATAGATATTTTAAATAAATGCTAATCAGTATATTCTTTCATTTACAAAGTTGTTTTCAAATTATTCCTTGTTTTTGGTAGTTACCATCTATCTTGTTCTTTTCTTAACTCGCCTTATGTTTTCCTAAAGCACTTTGAACTTTTGGATTACTGGTTACTCAGGTGCTGAAAATTCTTATGATTCGAAAAATCTATTCGCTCAACAACTTATATTGTTATCGTTACTTTGCATGTATTTAGAATTAGAATGTGCTTCCTTAGCTTCTAGCAACTCTTTTCCTGACTTGAATTGAGCTTCAGCTATTTTTAAGAGTGAATATACAATTGTCTTATAAGGAGGAATGAAATCTTGTCATAATGTGATATCTTGTGATTATTATGGCTTCAATGTTTTCCTAGTTTACTTTATTCACAACAAGCTATAATATAGGAGTTTAAATTCCATTATGCCAAGGGCAAATATGGATTATTGCTTGGTGCAATTAGAATTTTGGGCTGATAGCTTTGAGGATGCAGTTTTTAGTCTGAGTTCCTTCGAGCAGTCACTTGTACAAAAGGCGAACAATTTGAATATTTGTTTTTTTTTTATTTTTATTTTTTTATTTCTCGAGAAATTATGGTTTTGTGACTTGAATTGGTCATTAAATGCTTAAGGAGATTGATAATAAAAAATTAAGAAAAAGTTACAAAGTTGCCAAGAAAGTTACTATGATCAATCCAGTGGCACGAGCTCTGAAGAAAGAGTTTTGACATGATTGATAATGCCCCTTTGAAATCAAAGAATATTGAAAGAAACTTTCAAGTAAGGTGATGCATTCAAAACAAAACTAATTCTAAAAAAGTAAAACAAATTTAAACAAAATAAAAATTTAATGTAAAAATATATATTTTACATTTCCATCTCTCTTTACACACATAGATATTTTACGTGTGTTGGGTATATATGCGTATCTTAGATGTGTACTTCTCCTTTATCCTTTAAAATAAGGATCTACTTTCAATCTAAACACATGGTGCTTCTTAATGATATTCTACTAATTAAATAAATTACTACTTTAAGATCACATGCCAAAGCAAAATCTAGCATAGTCTCTCCAAATCCACACCCAACATGCACAGTACACTCATACTCTCCGACCTTAGACCATTAAAGCCTTTTCTTATAAATATACTCTTTCCTTTGAGTAGTTTTTTAATTATTTGATTGATATGGTACAAAATTACAACAATGAAAACATGCGTAGACAAAATAAATTTAAGAGTAGTGATACTCACACCGAACAGTGAATTGCCTAACTGAATAATTTTTAATTGGCTATTTATACCAAATACAACCAAGTGGAGGGCTCCACTTTCTTATTTGTTGCATAATTGACCAATTGAAAGAGTAGGTCTAGCAATTCATTGCAACTATTCAGTGCAAGAATCATTTTCCTAAATTTAAACCCAAAACATGTGTATAACTATGATCTTAATGAATTGCATAAGAGAAAATCCGAAACCCTAAAATAAATTAAAACCAGCCATATATCCAAGAACGGTGCACCTGATTACAAAAGAGAGAGAACTAACCTGCAAGTTGTGAAGTTGATCAGGGTTATAATAAAATACTGGCCCACTGGACCAGAAGCTTCTCAAGCTCAAGCATTTACTTTTCTAGTTAGAGACCAACGTCTTGGGGCTAACATTGACTTACTGGTTTAGGTAAATATCTAGTGCGTTCCCCAACCAGAGAAGTCATTTTTTAAGAAGGAACTATGCGTTTTTGGGATCTGTGTTCCCCCTGTTTAGAACCTCTAAGCGGTCCAAATGGGGTGGACTTAAGTAGGCTGAAAAAAGACATACAACCTTGTCAAGAATGGCGTTCCGCAGAATATATGACCCATGCTCCTTTAGGCTCTTTAAATTCCGTGGGTGGCCTAGCTACCGAGAGTTCATGTAACTTAAAAAAAACTAATTAAAAAAAGGGGAAAACTACACATAGGTAGACTTAGGACTGTTAACTACAAAATGATCTATTTTAAAAGTTGATTTTTCAATTTGATTGAATTAAATAAAATAATTACAAATGCATCAAGAATTGTTGTTAAGGCCCAAAATACTTTCCAAGCTCTTATTCTAAAATATCATTATGACTGCTAGTAAATTCTCTCACCTTCACAAGTTACCATATTACTATTGTACAACAGAAATTCATCATTCAAATGACTTGAATTGCTTGTGCGCTTTTGTTGATATATTACGGTATACAAATATTGGGTATGGCATAAATGAAGATACTTAATTTTGGGTGTTGATAGGTCTGTTTGTTTAGTGTAAGATATGATTTGTAGTTGCTCTATTTAAAAAAGTGAATTGATGAACAAGCTTTGGGAGATTTAATTCTCTTTAAATTGAAAATTGTTCTGGTTTGAAGGAATATTACATTTTCTAGTTACATGCCTGTGTATGAATGGGTAAATTCTTTTATTAGGATTTCGTTTATTTATGTGTTTGTAGATATGAATTAGGAAAACCATGAAGACCCAGAACACAAACCCCCCCCCCCCCCCCCCCCCCCCCCCCCCCCACCCCCCCCACATTGGATAACCCACTATTGGAGTGGATTTAAGTTAATTCTGATTTTGTTTTCCACTGGCAAGAATTCTCTACTGGATTGAACGAAGAGAGAATTCTTGGAAGGTATTTTGGACCTTAACAATAATTTTTGATGCATTTGTAATTATTTTGTTTAATTCGACCAAATTGAAAATGAACTTTTAAAATAGATCATTTGTTATTTAAGGCTCCTAACTCCTACCTAGGTGCAGCTTCCCTAAAAAAAAGTGTAAAGACATTGGAATGCAATTCAGGGCTCTAAACCATAACATATTTTTTTGAGGAGTGCTAGCGGCAGTCGCTTGCGTGAATGTCCTTCCATGGTCGCATTTCTCATTGGTTGAAAAATCAATCATAAAAGGTTTAATTAATACCTCCTTCCCATTTTTGTGGGACTTTACAACTTAAATTTATATAACCAAACTACCCTTTTAAATTATTATGTCTTTCTTTCCTTCCTTGAATAGCTAACCTTCATTCTTTTTCTTTTTTGTTCAATGTCTTTTATATATATATATATATCTCTTTATTGGGTTTTTATCATTTTAAGTTTTAATTGAAATAATATTTTGGGATTGAATTTTAGTTGGAGTAAAATTGGGGAATTAGAGTTAATGTGTAAACACTGAGAGAGATAAGGATGGTTTGTAATCCATTCACAATATGATTAAATATATATATATATATATATAGATACATATATAAAAAAGAAAAAGAAAAAGGAAAGGAAATAATCTATTCACACACACACACACACACACACACATATATATTTCTTCTTTCTAAATTGTTCATGGAATATGGGTAAACAGTGAGGAGAGGGAAAAAATACTAACAAGTGGTTATACATATGTACGTGTGTATATATATATATAAAGTTAAAAACAATTGAAAAAACAAAATAAAGAATGAATGTTACATACGTATACATACACAGGAGAGAAAAAAAAAAGGAAAGAATTTAGAAGGTTAATTTGGTCCTAATTATACGTATACATATAATAGTTTTAAGTTTTAAAATTCCATAAAAATACATTAATGATAACTTTCATTATTGATTTTTCAACCAATGAGATGAGCCACTGTGGAGGTGAGCATATATATATATATATATGTATGTATGTATACCTACAACAAGGAAAGAAAAACATAATAATTTAAAAGGGTAATTTGGTTATAAAAAGTTGAGTTGAGTCCCACAAAAATAGGAATGAGGTATTAATTAAACCTTTTATGATTGGTTTTTTTTTTTTTGATAAGTAATAATAACATAAAAAGGCGTTCAAAAGGGGAACGAGTCCCTTATACAGAAGTGGAACCGGGGCTAAGGCCCCAAAGAATCTAAAAAAATAATTAACTCATTAGAAGAGGAACAAGAGCTCCTCTTCACATAATTGAAAAGAGAACGAAGAATGTGAAGCTTCACCATTGCCGTAGACGACTCTTTCCCTTCGAACATTCTACTATTTCTTTCTTTCCAAATGCACCACCATACACAATGTGGAACAATTCTCCAAAAATCGCGTACATCCCTTCTCAAACGACATCCTCTCCAAACATGAATCAATTCCTTAGTAGATCGTGGCATTACCCAACACATGCCAAACAACCCAAGAATAAGTTTCCAACAGTCGTTCGCCACAGGACAATGCCTCTTTTCCTCAAGTTATCAATTGTCAGAATCTTTCCCCAAACAGCGGTCCAAACAAAGAAAGCCACCCTAGTTGGAGCCATGGATTGCCAAATAGTCTTCCATGGGAAGTCACGGCTATCAAAATTAGACAGACATAAGAACAAGGATCTTACTTCAAAACGACCGTGGGAAGAAGGAACCCAAATCAAATCGTCAATATCTTTACCAACACCCTCCTGCCGATACAAAAGATCCAGAAAAACACATACCTCATCCAACTCCCAATCCTAAAAAGAGTGCCGAAAGTGCACATTCCACGTAATCCCACTGCTATCAAGTCGATAACAGTCAGCTACATAGGAATGTTTATCAACTGCAATACTGAATAATCTAGGAAATGTACGAGATAGTGGCTGATCACCGCAACAAAGATCTTCCCAAAAAAAAACGCGACGTCCATCACGGACTTTGAATCTGATGTAAGCAGAAAAGGCATCCCATCCCTTTTGAATAGACTTCCACATCCCTACTCCCACAAGGGAAACCGGACATGTAGACCAGCCTCCAGCTTCTT